AGCTTATTAGTTCTGAGTTCGATATTTAACCCCCCCCCCCCTTTATATCCAACTGATGTAACCATATCAGCGACAACAGCATATGTACTATTACCAGAAGCCAATTGAGCAGTAATAGATAGAACCGAAGTGATCATTTTTGCCGTTCACCAGCGTACACTAGTTGCTCTTTAGCGAAACAGAAGTACACAGAATCGGAAAGTTCAGCCCCCGAAGTGGAAGAAACAGTTTACAAAGTGTCATGTGGACAAAAATGTTGAAATTTTGTTTGTTGTTGTTGTTGTTATTGTTGTTATCGTTTATTACGGCCTCAGCCGTTAAAGAAAATATTAACTGAATGAGCATAGTTTTGCGCTGCAAACGCTAGTTCCTTCCAGAAACTGTGACATGAAAATAACCGATTATTGTAAACTTACGATTACCAAATAGATTTGTAACAATTAAAATCAAAATTTACACATTAAAAAATGATTTTTTAAAAGAAAAAAAAAAGGAAAGAAAAAAGCCAAAAAAGTTTTCCGCGTTGCCTTCACAGTATTTCCGTCTAAAACGACATGATTCAGCAGATGGGAAATAACCAGCTGTTGGTACGTTGGAAATACGGCCTAAAAGTAGAAACATCTGCTATTGGCATCAACAAACTAATGAGAGGGGAGGGAAGAGGGGAAGCAAAGGTGACGGGACGAAGGCGACAGTAACAACACCAATGACAACAACCACCAGCAGCAACCACCACGACATTTGACGGCAATGGTCATCATCAGAACAGCGGGGACGATGGATTTAGGTTTTGTACTTTGGAACGGCATTTTTCTGCACTACGACAACAACAACAATAAAAACAGAGGAACTTTATTTTAACTAATGATTAACAGTATCTGTTGCCTATTATTAATATGGAAATAATCCTAATAATACAATGAAGGCTGCAGTCATAAACAAGGCTGGTACATTTTCACATAAAAAAGTCCTAAAATTTTAAAACCGACATCAGATCTGTGAAATAGTATTTTTCAGGGTAATAAACAAAGATATCGGGGTGAGAAAAAAAAACAAGGAGAAAATTCATCGATTTGTGTATAATTGGATAGATTTATCTCCATCAAAATAATTAAGTTTGATTTGTAAAAAGAAATTTTTTTTTTCATTCTTCATTGTCACTGTTATTTTCTTTTAATTTTCTATCTTGGTCCAGCAAAACCGCTGCCTGAAACAGACGATGAAAAAAAGTGAGATGATGAAAAGAAAGGGTGAAAGGAGTCGAAAAAGAAGCTTTTAAAAAATTTGAAAGGAAAAATGTTTCTGATGACAGAGTGAAAAATGATTTTTGTCAACTGTAATCTATAGGAGTTCTTTTTTTCTTTACAAACCAAAGAGGGGATTAAAGAAAGGAAGAGAAAGAGCAAAAAAAGGATTGTATTTGCACTGATGAAATTTTGCAGTATTGACAGTTTTTAGAAGCTCATTGAACGAAACTATGACGTCGAATTAAATGTCGCCAAAAATTATGCAGACTGTACTGAACTGGCAAAAACCACTGATTTTATCTAATTCAACCTCAGTCTTCGTTACAGTTCATTGAATTCCAAGTTGTCGACGTTTCCACTAAGACC